ACCCCATACTTGAGGAAGGGGCTCCTTTCAAAGTGGGAGTGTCTGGACATGCAAAAATGCTTATAACTCAAAAACTGTTCAACATAAGAGCTTCAGATTTCTTTTGTTGTTTAGCTCTGATGAGGGGCTATCTATCAGGTCAACCAATTTTTCCTCGTACCCCACGTAATATGCTCGAGTACCCCTGGTTGGGAATCACTGCACTAAAGGACCTTTAACACCACAGCAGATATGAAGATAGCCCAGCAGCTCTGCTGTCTGAGAATCTTCAKAAAGACCAACTTGAAGAGAGATCTGCTGAGTAAGTAAGTGTGTATCTATCCATCTAATCTGTAMGTTCAGTAACTCACCCTCATAAGTGCCTTCTGGGTATCAGTGTCGTACTCGTGACCCGCTGCCTCTACACACTGTCGGACGGCGACTCCCAGCACGTTCTGCTCCTTGATTTCTCTCAGGTACTCGTCAGCCTTCTGACTGGACTTCTACACAAACAGGAAACMAGACATCAGACCTGTGAACACCTGAAGCACCGGGAACAAAAYGGCCTCAGATCAGCAGAGGTGTACCTCGTACTCACGGTGGGCCTCCAGAAGCAGGGCTCCTGGGGCCATAGAGGCAATCTTAAAGATGTCCTGACAGACCAGGGGAACCTCCTGCAGCAGCTCCTGAGTGGTGGAGCTGATGATCCGAACCCCGTCCAGTTCTCCCACTAACACAGACTGGTTMTCAATGGGGAACCTAAGGTCAGGGTCAAGGTGCTATCTTTACCTTTAGAGACTATTCTAAAATGTCACCTGGAAGACCCAAGCAGACCTACAAACAGGTCTGTTCCAGGGATTCAAGGATACTGGATGGTGTCACTACACTCTCCAACAACAAGGAGCAGTGTGTCCCACATCAAGACCACAGAGGCCTGCTGACTCTTCGGCCTGCGGCACCTGAAAGTGTACACACAGTGAGACCACTAAACAGACTGCAGGACATTTACTAAGACAGGTGAGCAGGACAGGTAGCACACCTACCAGACCATCTGTTTTGGAGCTGCTGTCTGATTCGTGTCCACTTCACTCAGTTTCTCCTACAGACAGAACAACCCGTCAGTCACCCACACAGATATAACCAYGCCCACTTTGACAGGTAAAAGCATAGACAAGAATAAAGAGTAGACCCCTGATGGACCGCTATTGCCTATTGGCGCTGACGAGTCATGGGGCCTCCATCTTGGAATAGTCGCTCTCTCCACTCAGTGTAATCTGATTGGCAGGTGCAATGTAGTATCAGCATGTTTTATCAATCATAACTCTGAACTCTAAAATACTCAACTGACTTCCACACTTTTTTTTTGCTGTAAACCTTATAAATACAGTTGTAAATACATGGATAGGTTCACAAGTTTCAGCCTATTTAAATATTCTTAGTGAAATTAACAGTTAAAAAATTCTAGTGTGCTGTAAAGGTATTTTACAAAACACACTCACACATAGGGCTGGGAGATAAATGTTTTTAATCGATTACTTCGAATTTGCCATTTATAAAGATTTTATTTGGGGAAAATCTAGATTTTTTTCCCACTAGTGTCCTCTTTGGGGCTTCTGTAGTTTTGAGGTCAGCCCACCTGTCCCTCAAGACACTTGGTACACAACATGATAATATGGCTGCTAGCAAAGAGGATCTATTTCTCAAAAAAGGCACTGTTTTTTTTTCAGTTATCTGGAACTGGTTAGGTTTTACATCCTCGGACTTGGAGCAACGAACACCTCACTGTAAAATCTGTTTGAAGGCTCTTGATACGAAAAATCAGAAGTACAAAAAAAACTGTTTCAACACCTAAAACAGAGGCGAGACACTCCGTTAAGTGGGAAGCAAAATCGATTAAAATCGAAAATCGAATTTGGAATAAAAAAAATCAGAGATTTCTTTTTTGGGCCATATCGCCCAGCCCTACTCACACAT